CGATATCAAGATGTTACAAAGTATTCGCTACTGTAGTATGATGCAAGTATTGTATTATCACATCTAATTGGCAATGATGGCTCAAATTATCTTCATCGTCAAAATTTTCAATAGTTAGTCACTAAAACATCCAATTAGCAAGTGATGGACTGAAATGATCTTCGATATCAAGATGTTACAAAAGTATTTGCTACTGTATATGATGCAAGTATTGTATTATCACATCTAATGGCAATTGATGGCTTCAAAATATCTTCATCGTCAGAAGTTTCAATAGTAGTCAAGAAAACATCCAATTAGCAGTGGTGGGCCTGAAATGATCTTCGTTATCAACAGTATTGCTACTGTAGTATGGTGCAAATATTGTATTATCACATCCAATTATCAGTTGATGGATCCAAATAATCTTCGTTGTCAGCAAGATACAAAAGTATTACCTACTACAGTATGGTGCAAATATTGTATTATCACATCCAATTATCAGTTGATGGATCCAAATAATCTTCGTTGTCAACAAGAGAGCACACAAACTTTGCATAATTGTGTAACAAATGCATGAATTATTCTCAAGAGGCGTGAAATTTAATGAAGATCATCAGTTGATGACTTTGATATGGCATTCTACAAACAATACGTAGACATTTAGATTTGAAAGATATCTTCATTGAAATATATTTGGCTATCAACATTTTACTCAGAAGTGTGTGGTCACAAATAATATATTGAAGATAACTTACTTGGTACTTTTATATCCACAAGCTATAATAATACAAGCAAAACAAGTCATCTGTTCATTCTATTACTGCTTGCTCTGAGGATTCAACAATGTAACAATACAATATATAAGGCAAATATACTACAAATATTACAGGGGTCGAGCAGAAAAATGAGACGATGAAGTATCAATTAGAAGTGTGGTGGTCACAAATATCTTCAGTAATTATAGAAACACTGAAAATAACTTACTTGGTACTTTATATCTACAAGCTATAATATATACAAGCAAAACAAGTCATCTGTTCATTATATATCTGCTGTGGAGGATTCAACAATGTAACAATACAATATATAAGGCAAATATACTACAAATATTACAAGAATCTTCGTTTAAATCAAAATATATAATGTTCTTATCAATGAAGAGGTACTATTAGGTACACAAGTCATCTGTCCATTCGACAATGCAACAACACAATATATGAGGCAAATATACTATAAATATTACAAGGGTCTTTGTTTAAATTAAAATATCTAATGTTCTTATCAATGAAGAAGTGCTACAAATGTGAAGATCTACAACTGAATACCATATTTCATTAATTTTATGCTAATATTAGTAAATGACTCAAAATATTCAAAAGGAGGACGAAATTATCTATACAAGTATGTATATAAGAATTTTGTATAATTTTTTTTTCATTAGCTTTGTTTTTATTCATATGTATAACTAAATTTTTTCATTGGAAATTTAAAAGTATTTGAGAATATGGACAAAGAAGAAACTTTTGGCAGTATTCCGAATGATGTGATTAGATTTTATAGTACATCATGTTAGAAAAGCAATCAATGCAAACACAAAGTGTAGTTTCAGACCTCGAGGAAAGTTAGAACATTTGGAATCCGATGACAAATTTGAATCACACTAAAAATCAATTTATTTATTTCCAGAGCAAATCTGTTTGTTCCAATATAGAGACTGTGTACAGTCTAATAATTTTGATTAAATGCGAAAATTATAAAAAGTTATGACGCAACTTAAAGGAATTGTTTTATCAGTATGATGACTTAGTTTGTTAAAAATTAATAAATCAATAATACATATGATGAGCTTTTGTGCTTCTCGTAAAATAAAGCCTGTGCAAGGTGTAACTGTTTATTAAAATACAAATACATAATGAATTATTTATTTGCACATTGAATAGACTTTATAATATTATTTTAAATATTGAAAAATCAAATGAATATGATTTGCAATTTTTATATTTCATATTCGTTCGTCTTGCACATTTGAAATGACGAATCAAGATCGATTTGTGTAAGTTTTTTTTTAATTTACATTAATAATGGTAATAATGTTCTTTGTCTATTTAATTCATTACATACTTGGTAATATTTGTCACTTAATTTTTAAATAAAGTGAATTACGAAAAGAAAATTACAGTGATTAACATATATGAATCTCATACAATTATTTTAAACAGTCGTAAACAGCAACTCGATTTTACTTCAGAATCAATATTAAATGAACTAAAACATAATTTTTACATATGAGCTTATTGCATTAAAATAAATGATGTCAATCATTTCAATAAGATATATTTTGGAAAATCTGTAAAAAATTGATAATGTACAACATTTTCTACTATCACAACAATAGTTTGTGTTGTATTATTAAAATACTTAATGAAGAGCCATATTTATATAGATGAAATGATATTCTTATAGTAACACACTGAACACAATATTGTTCAAGTGTTACAAAAATGTAATTTTCTTTATTGAAAGTTAATAGCATTTTATGAATCTAATTAATGTGAATGAAAAATTAAAAATTGCAAAAGCCTAACACTGAATGATGTGCACGTTGCTTATACATACAAATTTGATGAAATCATACAAGTTGAGTAGAATTATTAAGTGCGAATGCAAACTCAGTCCACTGTTGAATCATATTTGAATTTTAAATGACAAAGTTTCAATAAAAATACAATTTGTAGTGATTTTGATAATATTTAATAATTAATTTATGTTTTTTTTTTTAAAAAAAGCCAAACTAATCAATAGCAAAAATAGACCATCAATATAATATGATTTTGCAATTTTTAATAATTGCTAGCAATTTTTATATAATTTGTTCTACGTTTTACATATTTAACAATTAAATTAAATAATGCCCACATGTGAATGTTTGTTGAATTTTAGGTGCATATTAATTTAACAGTTTTTATTTTTTAGATTGCAGAAGGAAATTGCAATGGGCTGATATTTTATATAGAGACTTTTACTCACATGTCTACAGTTGATTTTTCTGCCAACGACTAGGAAGATTTATTGGACATACTAGTAGCAAGATCACGATTTGAAGAAATCGTCGTTTACATTGAGATGCTGATTGTATCAAATGGATTTATAACAAAATCCAATTAACTTGGAAAATCACAAGTGCCGGCGCTACCGGGCTCAACAATATGGCAATATGGACTTGCCGACATACATATTGTGGAACATGTGCAGTCTTGAAGGAAATTACAAGGATGATGCTCTAGAAATTCTACAGTGAATCAAACAATGTGGACTGGCAGACGCTATTGGGGATATGTGCATTCTTGAAGAAAATGACAAGGATGATGCTCTACAAATCCTAGAGCAATGCCAAAGAATTGAGCCAAAGAGGCTGCAGCTTTTATTGAATAGGTAGGTTTTAGTTCGAATATTTAAAAGTGATTTATGTACTCTACTCTTTAAATAACAAAGATTCGATTAACAAATTAATTGAACACACATAAAGAATTAATGAAAGAGATCATTGTTTCTTACAGTCAAATAATTCATTATATTCAAGTTTCTATCTAATGTTTGATGAACATGAGATGTTAAATGATTTAGTTATTTTTAATAAAAAAGTAATATTTAAAAAAAATGACATATAATTAACTCAATTTATTTAATATTTTAGACGAGGATGATGCCGATGCAGTTGCAATGTGAGCCACAGCCAATTTCATGATTCTCTGTTAATGAAATATCTCAATTTGGGCAATGCCTTCTGGACCCAGTGCTGGCGTAGAAGTTTCCCCAGTGTTTGCAAAAGGTAAATTTTCAAAAATATAATGTTTTGTATAAAGTTTCGTAAGTTTATACTGTTGAAGGAGAAAAGTCTAATTGTTTAATTAGCCGAAATGATTGTTCTTCAATTATTCAGAGATGAAATAACATAGTAAATTAATTTAAAAATATGGTTGAAATACTAGTTAAAAATATAACATCTATTGAAATGCTGATGGCGCTAGTGTACATTGACTAGATAATTTTCATGTCGCGATTGTATCCTAAATGTGACGCATTTAGTTAGAAGTCAAGTGTTAATTAATTTATTTTGCTGTATATAAATGAGACAAACAAACAATAAATATATTGTACGATAATTATTTGTTTTTACATGTTAATATTATCAACTGTTTAAAGGAGTTAGTAAATTAGTAAAATTTCCAAGTAATCAAAGATAATTAATGTTTTGTGTAAAATGTGGTAATTTAACCTGCTGCCACGTTGTGAGAAAATCTCTTCCAGTATAGCGTAATGTTTAATTGTTAATACAAATAATTATAAATACTTGGTATCAAATTATTAGACTGTAGTGTTTAATTTTAATAAATTTCCAAATTTACATGTTTTTTTTTTCTTGCAGATGAGATGCACTTTGATAGCCCAAAAAGCATAGTTGATGTGCCTTCTCCATCGAGTCATTGTGAGGGATTGATGCTAATAATGGAAATCAAATCATTGTTGAGCAAGACCCACAAAAGAATGTAAGCGATGAAGATGCTTTTCGGTGCCCCAAAAGAGTTGATGTGCCTTCCCCATCGAGTCATTGTGAGGGATTGATGCTAATAATGTAAATCAAAAGACAAAAATGCCGTCGTGTGCCTGAGGATTTTGCAACCGGGCAAATATAAGGTAATTTGAAGAAATCAGTGAAATACATTGATCGACAATGAATATTTATTATGTTTAAAATGTAATACACTTTGAATTGGAAATAAAGATATTGTTTAATTAAATGTACATCTTGTTTTTAATTTAATGCTCTTTGTTTACAATTCAATATATTTAGCTTAAAATTAATTATAATCCATTTTAAGAACATGTGAAATTTTTTTTCTGAGCTTTATACAACTATTTAAATCATAATTTAAAAGCAATCACATAGTAATATATTAAAATAACTGTATATAAAGTTTTATATAAAAATGTACTTATGTTTATTTTTAAATTTTCAGCAATGGCAATGATGATGCTGCCAAAGAATCATTGTTGAGCAAGACCCACAAAAGAATGTAAGCGATGAAGATGCTTTTCGGTGCCCCAAAAGAGTTGATGTGCTTTCGCCATCGAGTCATTGTGAGGGATTGATGCTAATAATGGAAATCAAAAGACAAAAATGCCGTCGTGTGCCTGAGGAATTTGCAAACGGGCAAAATATAAGGTAATTTGAAGAAATCAGTCAAATACATTGATCGACAATGAATATATATTATGTTTAAAATTTAATACACTTTGAATTTGAAATAAAGATATTGTTTAATTAAATTTACATGTTGTTTTTAATTTAATGCACTTTGTTTACAATTCAATATATTTTACATGCAAATATTTGAATTGTCATTTACAAGTAATAGCATATAATGAAAATTTCATATGGGATCATATTAACTTGGTTGTTTTTAATTTCCGATGGAAGCAACAAAATAATGTAAGCTTTTCATTGTAACTTTGCTTATTATTCAATAAAATAAGTCTTTATCTTTTATAGCATTTTTGATATAAAATAATTGTGAACATATTTTGTAATTTTACTTTACATAGTCTTATGCTCATGGAATGAAATCGTCAACAATTCAACATATAATAATTTTTTCCCCTTAGTTTAACACAAAAATATAAAATCATAATATAAAAGCAATCACATAGCAATAAATGCATTAAGAATTTAATATAAAATGTACTAATGACTTTTTTTTTAATTTTCAGCAGTGGAAATGATATGCTGCCAAAGAATCATTGTTGAGCAAGACCAACAAAAGAATGTAAGGGATGAAGATGCTTTTTGGAGCCCAATAATTGACGTTGCCGTTGAGCGAATGGTGCAAGAACAACTGAAAATGTAAGTGTTTTTTTCTCTACTTTACACTTTGAATTCGAAATCAAGTTTTTTTGTCAAATATGAATATGGTTCATTATGAAATATAAATAATTTTAATTGAATGCATTTTGTTGACTGAATGTAATAAATTTTGCTTAAAATTTACAGATAATATCCGATTAAAAAACATTTGAAATGTACTTAATTTATTATGTAAATATTTAAAACTTGCCATTTGCAATAGTGATAGTGTACAATGAAATATTTTATGAAATTGTACTAATGTTGCTTTTAATTAATAATAAAAGCATTTGATTGACACTTTAAACTTGGTTTATTATTCAATAAAATTAGTTACTTATTAAATGAGCTTTGTTCATTATTAAACACAATGTTTTAACTTTATAAATTTAATTATAATTTAATATACTTTATTTTTAAATTACTGAAATTTGTCTTTAGTTTAAAATACTTTGCTTTTGTTGAATTCATTTCTGACAAAAGATTTTGTTAATAAAATGTTTTGATTGAAATTTAAATGACTTGTTTTAATTAAATAAATAATGTTTTGAATGTAATATTTGTAGTTTAATTAAATATTGTTTGTTGTTAATGGAATAAAAGACTTGAATTATATTTGTTGATTTCTAAGAGTTAATAATTTGTTATTTGAAAAATTTTAAATGAATTTTCTTAGAAAATACATGAAATAAAGTGAGACTGTTTAACTAATAAACGTTTTTTATTTTCAGTGCTTGCAATGATTACTACCTACTGTCCATGAATGCCACAACTGATGCTCCCTAAGAATGCCAATCATGTATTGCGAGCAAGGATAAAAAGTAAGTGTTTTATTTATACTTTAAACTTTGGTTTGTCAATAAATAAATTTTTTAGTAAAAAAACCTTTGTTTTAAGGGGGTACTTTTGGTGTAGAGTGATGAATTTTAGGTCATTTTTAAATTGTCGTAAAAGAAAGCAATGTTTTCACTATCCATTTTTTTTTTACCATTTGTTTATTAATATTATTAAGCTAGAAAACAAAAATAAAAAAATGAAAAAGTATCGACAATGAATATATATTATGTTTAAAATTTAATACACTTTGAATTTGAAATAAAGAAATTGTTTAATTGAATTTACGTCTTGTTTATTAAAATTGTAAAAACTGGCAACTGATGAAGTGTATGGTCTCAAAAAATTGGCATGTCAGTCTTGACATGATTTCAGCCTTCCTAGCCATCGAAAATGTAAAGAATGAAAAGATTATTAATTTACAATGATGTCGCAATTGGTTGATTGGTTGAAAAAAATATGTTTTCACAAATTGGCGACTGTTTGAAAAAAAAGTTAGTTTTTTTGAGTTTTCTCGAATGTTTTAAAAATAGTAAAAATAGGAATTTCGGGATGATTCTAGCTCAGACTATAGATAGATCTATAAAGAAGACTATCTGAAAATTTCAAATAAATTGTCGAGTAGAACTCCAGAAATCGTGACAAGAGTATTAAAAAAGTAAGTTCTGAGAAACTTATAGATAGTTAGTCTTGGAAGACTATCTGAAAAAATGTTAAAGTTTTGTGTGAAGCCAAACCAGTATAGAGACCGAGTCAGTAAAATGCCTATATCTCCAAAAATACACTAGAATACCCCCTAAAATGATTTAAAATGACTTGTTTGAATTTAATAGACTTTGTTATAAATTTAATAGTTGTAGTTTATAATAGATTAGTTTTAATTAAATATCTTTTGTTATTAATTGAAATAAAAAAAAATATAAATATACTGCATTATAAATTTATAGTTAATGTCTTAACAATTTTATTTACACTTTAGACTTTATTAATGTATTTAATTTTGAAAGAAAAGATTGTTTGAATACAATGTTTTGATTATAATGGAAATGATTTGTTTTAATTTAATAGACTTTGTTTAGAATGTAATAGTTGTAATAGCTGGTGTAAATTAAATATCCTTTGTTTTTAATGGAATAAAAAAAAAAATTATTCGACTTGATAATTTCTTATATAAAAATTGAAAAATGTAGTTTACTTAAAAATTCAATGAAATAGATTGAGGCTGTTTAACTAATAAATGTATTTTTTTCATTTTCAGTGTCTTTGATGAGTACTACCCACTTGCCACTGCCCAAGAATGCTATTACTGATGATGGTGCTTAAGAATGATGACGGTCCACCCCGAGCCACTGTCACTTGGATGGCGTTTGAAGAAATGTAAGTATTTATATTTTTATTAGTACTTATTAATAAATAGACTTGTATAAAATAAAGTTTTGTTTTAAAGTGAATAAACTTTGTTTGGAATAAATAATTGAACTTAATTAATGTATGATTACAATCAAATAAAGATTTTTCGAATTAACTTAATAATATTTTTTTTACTTAAAAAATATTAAAGTAATATATTGTTTAAAATCAACAGTTGTTTTAAAGTGAATAAACTTTGTTTGGAATAAATAATTTAATTTAATTAATGAATGATTACAATCAAATGAAGACTTGTTGAATAAATTTAATTTTTTTTTTACTTAAAAAATATTTAGCTAATATATTGCTTAAAATCAACTTTTGTTTTAATGTTAATAAACTTTGTTCTGAATAAATAATTGAACTTAATGATTGATTCCAATTAAATTAATAGCTTTTGAATAAACTTTATAAATTTATTTATTTGAAAGTAGTTACTTGAAAAAAATTTGATTGTATTTAACTAATAAATTTATTAATACTTATTAATTATTAGACTTGTTGAAAATAAATTTTTGTTGTAAAGTAAATAAACTTTGTAACAAATAATTAATTTAATCTAAAAATTAATAATTAAATAATTCAAATAATTCAATTTGATTGTAATCATTCATTAATTAAGAGTTTTTGAATCAACTTAATAATTTTTTTTTAACTTAAAGAATATTTAAGTAATAAATTGTAATAGCTGGTGTCAATTAAATATCCTTAGTTTTTAATAAATTAAAAAAAAATTATAAATCAAGACTTGTTAATTTGTTTACTAAAATGTATTTTACTTAAAAAAAATAATGAAATAATGAAGACTGTTTAACTAATAAATGTATTTTTTATTTTCAGTGTCTTTGATGAGTACTATCCACTTGCCATTGCCCAAGAATGCTATTACTGATGATGGTGCTTAAGAATGATGACGATTCACCCCGAGCCACTGTCACTTGGATGGTGTTTGAAGAAATTGTGGATTGTTTGCAGCGATTATTAAATGTAAGTATTTATATTTTATTAGTACTTATTAATTAATAGACTTGTATAAATAAAGTTTTGTTCTAAAGTAATAAAGTTGTTTGAAATAAATAATTGAAATAACTTAATTTGATTGTAATCATTCATTAAGAATTTTCGAATTAACTTGATAATATTGTATAAAATAAACTTATTGTATAAAATAAACTGATTGTATAAAATATTTGACTTGTATAAAATAATATATTGTTTAAAATAAAGTTTTGTTTTAAAGTGAATAAACTTTGTTCTGAATAAATAATTGAACTTAATGAATGATTCCAATTAAATGAATAGCTTTTGAATTAACTTTACAAATTTTTGATTTGATCGTAGTAAGTTAAAAAATATTTGATTGTATTTAACTAATAAATTGTTTTTATTTTCAGTAGCTGCATGCATTGGTCATACTTTGATGGCATTGAAGAATTGTGCGAACAAAGAGGGGAAAGTGGCTGCGAGCATCTCCGCAAAGTAAGTGTTTTATTAATATTGTAAAGTATTAAAAAGTCCATGTTGATTAATTAACTTGATTAATCAACAAAGACTTTGCGTTGAAATACATTTTGTATTTCGATGCAAAGTCGATGTTAATGAATTAACAAAGACTTTGTGTTGAAATACACTTTGTATTTTGATGCAAAGTCGATCTTAATGAATTAACAAAGACTTTGTGATGAAATACACTTTGTATTTCGATGCAAAGTGGATGTTAATGAATTAACAAAGACTTTGTGATGAAATACACTTGGTATTTCAAGTCTTTAGAAATAAGACTTTAATTTTATTGTTTCTGATACTTATGTTTGTTTTTTCTTCCAGACTTGGACACTTTGGATGGTCTCCCAGACTTTGATGCCGATGATGGCCTTCCACAAATGATGAAGACTTTTCAAGACTTTGTAGACTAATTGATGAAATAAAAATGTTTAAAAAAAAAAAAAAGACTTTCATGTTTGTTTGTTTGTTTGTTTTTGTCTTTGTTCACAGATGTTCCTGCAGACTTTGATGCCGATGATGTCTTCCACAAAATGATCCAGATTTGCCAATTAAAGCTTTGC